GGGTGAACTCGGGCCGTCCCGTCACACTCAGGCCCCGAAGAAGATCTGAGCTCTGACACTCCTCCCAGAGCCTGTCAGCGTCCAGCTGTTCACACACACACTACTATCCTTGTGGGGACTCTCCACAGGCGTAATGGTTTTTATACTGTACAGACCATATTTTCTATCGCCCTACACCAACCCTACCCCTAAACCTACCCCTCACAGGAAACTTTGTGCATTTTTACAATCTCAAAAAAACTCATTCTGTATGATTTATAAGCTTTTGTACCCATGGGGACCTCAATTTAGGTCCCCAGTGTAACACAAGTCCCCATGAATTGGTGTGTATTCAGGTTCCCACCAGGATAGAAAAACATGTACATACGCTCACACTCACACGCACTCTCTCTCTCTGACAGACACATACACTCACTAACTCACACACACACACACACACACTTACACTCACACTCTCTCACACACACACACACACACTTACACCCACACTCTCTCACACACACACACACACACTCTCTCTCTCACACACACACACCCACACTCTCACACACACTCACACTCACACACACACACACACACACACACACACACTCTCTCTCTCTCAGCCCGTTGCTACTCAAACCTGTACAATCCGTCGATAAAACAATATAAAGACAGCCAGATGTGCAGTGACTCTGGGCAATTGTTTGTTCACATATTTGTTTATTGTTCAAGCCGATCTACTACGCATGGAACACGTCCGCAGAGCGGACAGTTTCGGTAGTATAATTGCAATGCACGTATGGGCAGGGGCGTAATTTCCACTGGGGACAGGGGGACATGTCCCCCCACTTTTCAAAATCACGTTTGTGTCCCCCCCCACACTTTCAAATTCGTTTGTTGACTTTAATGTCATCATGGATGAAAAGAAAGAAAGAAAGGGGATGTGAGTTGGTTGATTCAGTAAATTATCTCAGGTCAGGATAATCATATTTTCTGTCTACAACTGTTAATGTTAGCCTACGTTGACTGAGCTAACGTTAACATACACTGTTGCTAGGTAACAGACTGTTGTTAGCTACATATTTGATATAGAACAGTGGTTCCCAAACTGGGGTACGTGAGGCGACAGAGGGGCTACGCGAACAAAATGCTGAGTTTTGCGGTGTTTCGTGAACGAATCGTTCGCGAAAGTCATTGATTCAATGATTCATTTATAAATACAGCCACTTGCTTAATTACTGAATGAGCAAATGACTCGATGACTCATGCATTAGACAGTGACTTACCGCCACCTACTGGCGCTTTTAGTATTTAAAAGAATCACTTTTCACTTTTTTTTAATCATTGCATATTAATCTATTGAACATTTTTTTTAACATTAATATTCTATTTATAAAGATTAAAAAATGCATTGGAAAGTCAATTTAGGGGGCAAATATTGTCCTTTAATGGAAAAGGTGCAGTCTAAGTGGAAGAG